GAATGTTAGTAGTTGATTGAAGTGAAGCTTTCCATGGTCTCTTTTCCCTATTAGGTATCAGTTTTAGCAGAAAACATCAGCTGATCTACTGAGGATACCAGTGGTCGAAACAAGCGAAACATTTACACTTCTGGTAGGAAGAAAATGTCACACCAACTGAGCCGTTTTCCTTCGATCAAATAACATATTTCTCACTTTTTAGTTAATTTTATTTATCCGTAATAATCGTGCTTTAAACTTATTTACTTTGCTCTATTCTTTGTTTTGTGTGTGTCTCTACTACTTCTTCATTCCTGACTTGTCTTTCTATAAGTTTGTTTTCCTCCATCCTTATTATCTAAAACCATACCTTCACCTCCCTACAAGTACCAATATTTTTAAATATATGAAATCCTATGACATTGTAAGCTACTCAACGGTTTGTATATTAATATGTAACATTAATTTGAAATCATATTTTCGATTTATTATTTACCCACTACAAACTACCTCAAATTAATGAGGGAAAAATGTTGCGGTTGTCATGCCCCCGCCGGGAATCGAACCCGGAACCTTTGGCTTTACGCACCAATGTTCTACCGCTAAACTACGAAAGGTGACAACAGCAACCCGACCAACCGACCTACAAAGTTAACGATCCGTCGATTTTTATTACCTTAATTATACATATTAAATATATGAAATCCTATGACATTGTAAGCTACTCAACAGTAGATTAATATGCAAATCATATTTTTGTTTTATTTTAATTGATTTTTCCGTAGTTAATAAACTAATAGATTCGAATTTTGTTTTCCAGTTTCAGTTTAATTTTGTATGTTGAAACGGATGTTTCCGGAAAAACGATGCTTTCGTTTTGGTTTCATTTGATAATAACGGGGCGTCTGCCTACTAGTTGGCTGTAAAACGTTTCCAGTTTCTGGTTCTTGATGGCGAGTGACTAGTTTACCTTTGGACTCCATTTCAATTCCACTTAATTTTGTGAGCGAAGCCGGGCAAATATTTGCACTGGTTTGTACTCAGACGAGGGTGGGTAGAAGGAGAAAATTGCTCTCATTCGCAATGGCAATCTGTTCTTGATAATGTCAGTGATATATATAAAACGGTTCTCTAGTTAAACCGTACCACTACACCACGTCCTTTTTTCTTTTTTCTTTTACAAGTGGTTAAATATTATCAGCGGGATTTTTTATTTTTTTTTTTAGTGGAAAAACGGGGACATTTTGATCGTCTATTAAAACAACTTAAGTACACTTCAAAAATGACATGAATAAATTATATTGTTATATTGGAGCAGTTTTAATTCATCGCCATCATAAGGTCGTCAGTCTTAAGACTGGTTTGACACGTACCTGCACTCTTTCCTACTCTAAGCTAATCTTCGCATTTCCCTAAAACTAGAACAATCCACATCCTTAACTATTTGTGAACAGTAATCTAATCTAGGACTACCTCTTCCCCTCTTAACTCCCGTTTCTGCCTCTAATATGTCTCTAACTAGACCTTCATGCTTGAGAAGGTGTCCTACCAACCTATCTCGCCTATTTCTTATTGACTTCCATAGAGTCCTCTGTTCTCCTATTCTTTCTAATACCTCTTCATTTCTAACCTTCTCTATCCACGGTATCCTCATCATTCGCCTGTAACACCACATTTCGAACGCTTCTAACGTTGTCTTTTCCGTCGCGCCTACCGTCCATGTTTCGCATCCGCACAGTGCCGCGCTCTAAACATACACCTTCAACAATCTTTATCGAATTTCTAAAATGATCGTTCGCGAACATAGAAGCGACTTCTTTTTATCGAAGGCGACTCGAACCTGCGCTATCCTCTGCTTTATATCGCTACTACTCTTTCCGTCCTGTCTTATCTGACTTCCTAGATACCTAGTTTTGATTAGAAAAGATAAAAATATGTACACATCGATCAATGCGATTATCTTTCGAACAAAGTAGTATACCCCTTATACCTATAAATACTGATCTTAAATAAAATTGTTAAACAATTTTGGCTAATACTTTGTATCAGTTAATCTTTGAGGTATCCGAAAGGACCGTTGTCGTTTATTAATTGTAGGTGAAACATAATATATTTAAGAATTTCTATGAAACTTTGCAGATAATAGGACAGTGGCGTTAAAAAAATCTTATAAAATTTCAGTATCATTAGCGGAATGGTTTAACAGATTCTAAGCAACATGTACTCTTATGGGAACTGTTGCGTTACTACACTCTCTGCCTGTTCTGATAACAATCTGTTCCTTTTTGAAGTGAAACTTCTTTACACACGGTAGGGTAAGTTCGTTTAATGCGAGTTGCTATGTAACGAAATCATGCAACGCATTTCCCCGCTGTCTGTCCCTATGTATGCTTAGATCTTTAAAACTACGCAACGGATTTTAATGCGGGTTTTTTTAATAGATAGAGTAATCCAAGAGGAAGGTTTATATGTCTAATACATGCATAATATAGTAGAGAAACACTGATAATTTTAGAGGTTTGTAATGTGATGTCGTAAATAAACACATTTTTTTGCGCTTACATTGCAAACGAACCCTGAACCCTACGAGATAGATCAAAATAATATACTACATTATTGTACACCTTAAAAAGGTCTACAAAAAAGTTCGCGATGGTATATGTCTATCTCTTAGGGATAACCCACAATAACCATTTTTTATCCTCTACTTTTTACGAGAAATAATGGCTTATTTACGAAGCGATTTTAAGCAATACAGCATTAATCCTTATCCAATTAAGTACTTTACTTAAAGTAATTTAAATGAATATTTTCGAAGATATTACAGACTTAAAATGCAGGGACAGCGGTTACGGCATATTGTCTAATGACAAAAAAGCTGTGATTGTTGTATATAAAGACGTTCTAAACTATATTTACTATCAGCATTGCACCCGTGCGAAGCATAGTGTACAAATAATACCATTAAACCAATTCCTTAACCCCTATACCGGTATCTTTGTGTGTTTGAAGACGTTTTACTTCAGTAGCGTGTTGTATAATTACACGTTGTATTTTTTTTTCATCATAGACATTTCCCATCACCCCTTTAAATAATTAATCTCCCGCAATACACAGTGGTCGAGTTTAATATGCCAAGTGTTTACATTTTCTGGTTCTTGCAAACATAAAATCGAGTAATGCTCAATTAAAAATTGTACTCGACCCATCCGAACGGATAACAGCCCAGTCAATGTTTTTGTAATGTAGTTACAATATGCAAGGCTCATAAGCATCTGAACTAGCTATACCTACAACCAAACCAGTAGCACTCGACACAGCGGTAAGGACTAAAACGTCAGGTAATATTAATAATTAAAATTCGTTGCGGAAAAAAGCGATCGCTTGAAGTGAGGAAGCCGAAAGTTATTTTTGGTGTCGAGTGTAGGCGAGCAACCGTGTTCAAAAACTAACGTACAACCGTGAAGTACGTGGAGTACACGCGGTGAAATTACGAGACATTAGCGTATCTGGTTCGAATAATACTTTCGTCACAGGGGATCGTATAAATTCCTCCCTTCTCCATAATAATAAATAAAAGTCGAAAAATGTCAAAACACACAAAATGTTTGTAATATCATATACCTATACCAAAGACTAGACTTTCGGAAAGGTATACTCATAAATTGATATAGTACAGATTGATGGTTGATTTTGCAGATATTTACAAAACGCTTTGAACTGTTCCTGTGAATATTTGCTTACTTCTTTAACAATATGCCAATATTTTGTTCAACACGGAGGAAATGAAAAAGGAAAATTTACCCTAGCCAAAAATTTTCAGTCTCTCTCCAGTCTCTCAGAGTCTTTCAGCGTCTCTGAGAGCGTCTCTCACAGTCTTTTACAGTCTCTTAGTTATTGCCTACGTGTTTTTATGTATCTCTCACTCTGTATGAGAGACTCGAACGGTAAAATTGTTAATTCAGAGATTCGAGTCTCTCACAGAGAGACTAAATGAATAAAACTGAAAAATTGAGAGACTTGAGTGTCTCGTAGAAAGACTGGGATATCTGAAATATGTTGAACTTAGAAAATTTTAACCATGTCTATTGAGACACCACTTATTGAGAGATTCGTTCAGAGATTCAAGTCTCTCGTTCAGAGACTGGATACGAAATGAGGATCTCTCTATGAACGACTCGAGTCTCCCGTTCAGAGACGCTAAACGGTTTTTTGACAGTCTCTCGACAGTCTCTCTCAGCGACGCCAGAGAGACTCGATGAGAGACGAGACTCGAGTCTCGCTTTCAGAGAAGCGAAAATAATAAAAATTACAATTTGGAGCCGAATTTGTAAAAATAAAATCCCAGCAGAAATACATTTACCTACTAGGTATTTTAGTTGATATTACAAATTTAATTGTAATAATTAAGAAACTTTTTTCCTGTTCTCAGCGAGGGTGTGACAACAGCAACAAACTACTCCTCATTAACTTGAAGTAATTTATAGTTGGTTTAAATGAAAAATGAATTTCCACATTTAATATTTAATCATTTGAATCTAATTTGTCCTTCACACAATATACTCTTAATAATCTTTTTGAAATTTCCATATTTACTGATTGCGAACACAAGCGTTTTTTTTTTTGTTAAAAATGCCCGATCCTGCGCAATTTATTTCTTTTGACGCATTTTCATCCTGTTATGTGACTCCCTAAATATCCAAGATGATTGATTTTTATTTTTTCATCTCCTATTCTTGTACTAACTCTAACCCTACTTTTACCCCCCATACATACGAATATTTATTATTTATTTATATTTATCTTTTATTTATTTTTTACACTCTCTTTTGTGCCAGTACCGATTTAAACATATATAAAATAAATATCCAAAGAGATGTCAGCAATTTATAGTTGATGAATACGTTTTTAAAATATTACTCTATTTGCACAGTATTTAGGGTAAACCTCTTACAGAAACGGCCTTAAAAGGATAAATAAAGATGGCTAAGTGCTGACTATTATAATATTTAAAAACTCACCTATTTCTTCGGGAGAAAGAGTTCTATGCCGTTTGTAGAAATCTATTTGTGCTGTAGACGTTTACCTGGAAACAACAAAATGAGTGAAAAACTTCTATTTCTCCTTATTTTAATACCTACAATAATATAAAACATTATTTCTAATTGGCAAGGGTGTATTTTAGGGTGGAATTAGCATCGGCCCGGTCACGCATGTGGCCGACGTAGACGGCCCGCGCAGCGTTAAAAATACGCGCAAATTGTTTAAACAATGCATGTCTTGTTGATCGGCATGTGTTTTCCTTTAGTTCCGCTTGCGGCCGCTCTTCAAAGGGCGTCGCCACGCTCGGAAGACATAACCTCCGAAATAGCCCATAATGAATAGGTGCTTTATTTAAATGCTTCCTGCCTTAAAATAACATATTTCAGAAGTTAATTAGCCTCCCTTTGATGGTGTGAAGATAATTTAATTCGCTGTTAGTCCCGATACTGTCGCTCTTTCATCTACACTCGAAGATGGGCGTTGTTTTCGTCTTTCGACGCCTGCTTTGTTTTATACTATTGCAATTCCGGCATATATCGCTTTCTTACGACGTTGGCTATGCACGCACTTTGTTTCGTATAAAATCGCAAAATTTATGAGAATGCTTGGAAAGCGACCACTTTATAAGACTATCAACATCATCTTGGTAGGAACATACTCATTCATAAGTTTGCCAGCACTTAAAGTTCACTTTTTAGGCACCTTCCGTCTTCGTCACGCAAATCTTACACATCACTACCATCATCACCAGCACCTACCTTAAGTGCACTTAAAGTGAGTAGTGAGCAGCTTCATAAGTCTCCTAAGATGATAACAAGGGGGTAATGTTCTATCAATCCCCCCCTTTCTCTCTCATTAACCTCTCTACATCACGCCAACACGGAGAAAACTAAATTATGACAACGAAAAAATTATAATTTTTGATTGTAAAATACTAAATTTGGCGTAGAAATTGTAGAATTTATTAGGTAACTTGTAATAATCGCAATTTTGACGATTTTTTTTTTAAATTAGTTCATGTTTTTTATTTTTACAAATTCGGGTTCAATTTGTAATTTTTATTATTTTCGCTTATGGAGCAACGGACTAGTAGGATAAATTGTAAATATTGCCTTAATATTTAGGTAAATTTTCCTTTTTCATTTTCTCCGTGAAAGAATACTAAATACGTACAATAAAACCTTCAGAATAAACTGATATGCAAAAAGTATTTTAATTTTTTTTTGACGTGACAACGTCTTATAATTCGATGGAGCCGGCTGCGCGCACGAAAAAACATGACTCATGCGGCGTTACCTCGCTCTGAGGCGTTCCATTTAAGGCTTGAAGTGCAANAAATAGAATGTTTATTTTCTAAGACTATACTTTGTATAATGCCCGCTTCGTACGACGTGTTTGTGATTTCCCTTCGATGTTATTATAAGCGGATTCTATTGTATAATAAACATATTGAAAGTTGTATCCAAATTCGGGTGTATTTTCTTTTTATACGTATGTAGGTGGTAGAATAAAGAGTCCAGGGCTAGATTTCAAAATATTTATTTTACAAAGTAGACATATACGTATTTTGTGGACAATTTAAAAAATGTTTTTTGGTCAAAATAAACTATTCCTTTCACAATTTGTCAAGACAGTCGGATAGACCAGTATGACAAATGTCCGACGACACAACCCATTTATATCTAAATCATACTTCAAATATGAGCTGTTCTCTCGGTTGTCTCGCGGTCATGAACAGGCGAGCAGCAGGAAATAAAAAAATTCTAGAAATGTACACCGACAAAACTGACCGACTGAGAAAAATTACTCGGGGATAGTAACGGTACAACGCGTATAACAGAACGAATATAAAAAATTTTTTAATTCACTTATAAGCGCCCGATACGTGAGCTTCAAGCTTTTATATAAAATTACTTATTTTTACCAGCGTAATACGTTAAACTTAGGAAATGAATGCGTATCATTAAAGTTCAAGAAGAAAATACCTATAAACCAGTAGCAATTAATCTTGTATCATTTTATACACTTTATCCAATGGGCGAAATGGGAAAACAAAACCGTCACAACGTAATGTTTGCAGAATTCTTCTTCTGTAATCGAAGCACCACTTCAAATTCAAAATCGATGAGTGCCTACCGGAGAAGATCTTGGTTAAAGTTCTTTTACGTTTTCTTCCATGGACACTGTAAACAACCGCACTAAAAGGGCGTATGTTTTGTAGTACTTACTAAAAAGTAGCATTTTATCATCATAAGGTCCACAGTCATACAACTAAACATCGTCTCGCTTGAAGGTCTCTTTGTAACTATTTGGCAAAACAATGTTCTGGTGATGTGCGATTTTTTTATTACAAATGCAGTTGATGATAGTACTACAGAATAATAATATTAATACTCGCACAAAGATTACTACAATATATTCTCTTATACAGATAAATATTTCACTTAATATTTGTTGCACGAATTGCGATTCCCTAAATTGTGTTTTCGATGGTTTAGATCACTTTGAACAACATTTTTCATTGAAAAAGGAGTTACAATTCCAGTTTTAATTTTCATGTATAGAAATCCGTGCACATTCTACAGGAACAATCCTTGAACATACTCTGTCATTTTATGCTTCGAGATACTCAACCTGATATTACGAAAAGTTCAGTTTATAAGAAAAAGAAAAACGATAAATTTGCAAATTTTTATTAGTTTATAATTCTTATAACTTGGATTTAGCCAGTTGTTTGTATAAACAATTTTTCTCTTTCAGACTCAATCTTAGGCGTATGTGGTATTTGGAAGTGTGAGGGAATTGTAAATCTATCATCTAACAGAGGAAACAGGTAAGAATTAAAGCCTACACCATTTTTATTTATTATGCCGTATTTACTAAACAATAATTTTTGCTATATCCAATCTTCGGTGATGCTGAATTCCCTCCCGCAGGTAGCTTTGGTTAAAATATAGATAGTCGAATTCCCTCCCGGGTACTAGCCGAGTTCCCTCCCGTTCATATCAGCTCCGATAATTAAAATTAAAGATAAAATAATTTCAGAAAGAAGACACATACCAGTTATGAAATCCTAGGCAATAATTGAGAGACTGTAAAAGACTGTGAGAGACGCTCTCTCTCTGAAAGACTCTGGGAGACTGGAGAGAAACTGAAAATTTTTGTCTAGGGTACTGATGTATATTTTTAGGGTTTCTCAATCTAAATCTTAGGTCAATTTAACCCCAGCACGTCAGGGCTTAGACATAACAGTGCAATATCCAATGATACCGTTAAAAAAAGTTCAAGCCCTCAGTTGGATTTGAAAGACAAGTCTAAGTCACAGCCCGAACAAAAATTTCTATTTAGTCCCTTGAGTGTCCTATCGGACTTAGAGACCTAAATTGCAATTAGAATTTAGAAATTCTATACTAAAATAATATTTGTAGTTCTAAAGCAAATACTAACAATAGAATTGTAACGGATGAGAACCCTTTGGGTGCAGAACCCAATTGTTGTGGCAAAGATGTCCGTCCTGTTCCGGTTTCTAACTTCTAAACTAATTAGATATCAACTTAGAACTCGTACCTATATACATATGTCAATTCTTGGTCAAGAATAAAAAATAATTATATTTAAAGTTAAAAAGGAAGCTTTATTAAAGAATCACAATTCTTTCAATTACTTCTCGACTAATAACGGGCATATCCTGTTAGGAAGTTTATTACAAAAGGGTTTATTAACTTTTATTTAATTTTCTACAAGCAGAAAACTTTGTGGATACTGTTATCAAAAAATATTTCATTTATTTATTGGAGTTACGATAAATAAAACCCTTCATTCAAAGTCCCACTGGCTTTTAACCAGTTATTATTTGTTTTTTTTTTTGAAATTCATCTTTTTTTAGTTGTATGCATTTCTATATCTTTTGTCCTGGCTTATAGTTTGTCAATTCACTTTTACTGGTGTATATCTTTGTATAAGAATAAAGCTTCCTTAGAATCCATGTAGTTATGTAAAGTAAGGTGTTGGTGGGTCAATATAAATCGTTTTACATGTTGAATAATAACGAATGAAATGAAAATTAGCTGGATTATCTAAATACAGTGTTCGTAAGTTACGACGTATCTACAGTCTTGTAGGTGCTGTTTGAGACTGGTCCCCTTTGGTCTTAAATTTATTATCCAAGCCGTTTCCGACAATGCTTGTCGGTACCTACAACTTAATTCTTCTTGATACATGGCTCGTGATATAACGAATAGCCAACAATAAAACTCCAATATATTAGAAGTCATTTAAATGTTTGTATACACTTCTGATATGTTTATATTCGGTGAAGTTATATGATAGGTCTNAACATTAAGCGATCTGAGCACGTTGTAGTTTTGTTAATATATTAACTGCATTAGTGTCTTCTTGCATTTATTATTAACAGCCTCTGATTAACGGTCCCCGGCAAGAGAATAAAAGGAACGCAGAATGATGCAATTAGTTTTCGCTCATTATTATCGAACATAAATTATTGATATGAGCGCAGTCTGTGACATATCCCTAACTATGAACTTTCATCTTGGAGTCAGCGTATAAGCTGTATATATATACATAGGTTTCGTTCCAGAAGAAATTAAAGTTTATTATTGTTTTATTCTTTTACTTCTATAGCAGTATTAGCATCTAGCAAAGAGAAGTTACAGATAATTTTAAATAAAATGGATGCGGTACTGACGAAACAGTACTGAATTAAAATAAATAAAAGTAAAACAAAAATTCTAGTATGCAAGGGAAGAAAAAGTAGGGAAAAAGCGAATATAAAGATAGGAGACTAAAAGTTAGAAGAAGTGTCCGATTTTAGGTATCTAAGAAGTCAGATAAGTCAGAACGGAAGGAGTAGTAGGGTTATAAAGCAGAGGATAGCGCAGGGTCGTGTCGCCTTCAATAAAAAGAAGTCACTTCTAAGCTCGCAAACGGTTAATTTACAAATTCGAAGAAGGTTGTTAAAGGTGTATGTTTAGAGCGCGGCGCTGTACGGGTGCAAAACATGGACAGTGAGCGCGGCGGAAAAGAAGA